AGCCGAGCCACACCCTTCCTTTGTTCAGACCCCGTCCCTGGACAGGTGAGACCCGGTTGGGCCACGGACTACGTGACGTGCGATTCCTCAGGGCGACCCCCCGCTGGGCAGTGCTACAGACACAGGCCAGGAAGGGTCACTCACAGCCCACAGCGACCAGAGACAGCCCAACCAGAGTGGGCCCAGGGCCACCAGAGTCAACAGCCCCCCACTACGTCACAGCTCCCATGAGGTGGGTTTGACAGCAGGGGCCGGGGGAGGGTGGTAGCTGCAGGGCACCATGGCCTCTGTAAAAAGCCAGCGGCAGCACCAACAGCTAAAGCAAGACTCCTACAGGGAGTGGGGTGGGGCTGGAATGGGGGCCCCCAGTCCCCTAGTGAGTACCTGGCTGGGGACACCTGCTAGACGAGGGCAAGACTGTGCGGGGCAGTGGGGGGAGGCACCAGGCCCTGTTGCATGGATTTGATTTGTGTTGGGCAGAGTTGGAAAAAACTGAGGTAAGAGCCTGAAATCCTGCTGTGGGGAGCTTTGCAGAGGCAGCAGCACAGGGTGGGGTGGGGAGTAAATCTCAGAGGGTTAGCAGCGTGAGTCTGTAGCTGTGCAAACAATGAAGTCCAGAGTTATATGGGCATAAGTTTTTAAGGGTCAAAACCATTCCTCAGATGAATGGAGGGGTTTTACATGTGACTTTTCTTACTCCATTGCACTGATTAAGAATGCAATCAAGTCCCTGTAAAATTATGCAAATATTGATTCAGCAGCACTGAGAGAGCAGCATCGCAGACTTTCAGGATCAATACTACCTTGATTTAGACTCAGCTCATTTTCAAGATGCAGCTTTGCTAGGCACAAAAAGCCAACTGAAGCCTGTGAAAATCAGCTTTGTTCTGCATGTAATCTGTGTTTGTCAACTTCCACTCCCCTTTGCATATGCAGCAATAGCAAGAAGGGGAAGGTCATGTGTGGGGTTTGTGCTTGGTTGCTGGTATTTCCCTGATGTCCCACCCAAGCTGCCATGTTTACAGTACAACACCCACTTTGGTGCATTGCAGCAAGTTTGCTCTGGCAGGTGTCATTCTCCAGTGGCATCCACGCGATATGCACTCTTGCAAGAAACAGCCCTGCGCTGGAATGACTATTTAGAGGGACTTTTGCATAGCACCACGTGTTATACAAAATATTATTTGATGGTTGGTTATTGCAAACACAGCAACTGCCAAGTGACTCAGCAAGCTGGCCTGAAGCCCATTGGGGTTCGACCTCAGAGATCCACACAAAAACAAATTGGATAATGCGCCTGTTCTGCATTCCGTGGGCGTCTGTGCATATGCAGACTAGTTGTCCACTGTCATATCCCAGTATTAGGGTTGGCAGGTGTCCAGTATTCACCCGGACATTCCGGTATTTTCACCTCTTGTCCGGTAAAGAAAATTCAGAAAATACCAGACCCCCAAGATGTCCGGTATTTTCTGATTTTTTTTCCTGGCCAGGCAGTGAAAATGCCGGTGTGACGTAGTGTTGGTACCTTGCTGGTTGCTAGGCTTGGGCTCTGGGTGACCTCCGCTGGCAGCTGTTTGTAGCACAGCCCAGCAGGACAGGGGATGAGTCATTATGCAAGGGGCTCCCAACCTGTCCGACCAGTTACCTCCCAGGGAGAGAAACGAAGGAAGGAGGGGAGGCCAGCCCCTGGCTGGGGGGCAGGGCTGGAAGGGATGTTTTTAGTTTCTGTCTGGTATCATGGAGGAAGCAGCCTAAACAACAGGCTGGGATCTAGGGACCCAGTCTCCCCCATCTCAAGGGGGGCTGAGGCATCCTAGGCCTGCCCTGTATCCGGATTACATCTTTGCTGTGCTGTATCCTAAAGAATCAATAAACTCCCTCTAGTCTACTGGCTGGTGGAGTCTGTTCGTGCCACTACGGGGGTGCAGGAGGCGGGGGATCCCCGACGCACCGCCACAGCCGGGCATCTGGCAACCCTACAAACACTCAGCACCCAGCCTCTCCCAGCCCCATGTTTACCTGGTTTCGCAAGACTGCCGGCACAAAATGGCTGCCAGCAAAAAGACCAAGGGGAAGCAATGATTCCCCTGGGTCTTAGTGCTCAACCCCTCCCCTGTTCCTAGCTCTGCACTCACTCTTAAAGGACAAGCTGTCTTAATGCTGTTTTATTTTATATATATATATATAGAGAGAGAGAGAGAGAGATTAATAAGTCTTGGACTCCTTTTTTTTCCTACCCCTCTTTTTGTTTTCCTTCAACAGAATTTTTTCCTGGTGTTTTTTTGGGGGGTGGGGGAGAAGGGAGAGGAGCAAGTGTTTGGTATTTTTGTTTCAACCATCTGGCAACCCTACCCAGTATGCGTCTCTGGGTGGCGAGTACTAGCACTAAGCAGGGGATTCAGTTCTTTTTCTGAAGAAGCAGAAGATAGTTTTAGCAGCTGTGTTTGAATAAAAAAAGCTGTTGCCCACTCCAGGCTTTGCATGAGGTTCTATAGGGTCCCCCTTCTGACTCTGGGCCATCGAGCTCCTGTGCCTCTGAACCTATAAAAGCAGAGAGGCCTGATTTCAGCCAGCAGCTGCTCTTAGAAAGGAGCTTTGCTTCATGTTGATGGCTTTTCCATTCTGCCTGTTTGCAGCTTCTCCATGAAAGGATCCAGCTCATCTTCTGGACCTCATCTCTCCCAGCTGCCATCAACCGGGAGGGAAATTGGATCCCATTTATGGTTCTCTCCTTGTCAATCAGACTGTGGGCATGAAGCCTAGCAGGAAAGCTGCTGTGTGTAGGGAGAGTGGATTGTAATGTCAGCGGTACCTCTGTCAGGAGAAGTACCAGTCCTTGGAAAGTGTCACTGCCAAAGCTCCCAGCGGTTACACGTGCTGATGTTACGGCTGATACGACTAAAGGGAAACCAAATGTAAGTTGCCCTTGGAGGTGAATGAAACCTATAGGGCCACACTTAGCAGCTGCAGGGGGAAGGCTTTAACAGGCGAGAGAACCAGGCTGGGAAGCAGAAGGTTCTGGAAGGATCCAGAGCTTTGGGCCCTTTGCTGGCTGGAGGCCAAATGTCCATTCACAGGCCGTTGAGCGCCAGTAATGCTACTGCATGGTGCAGGGGGCTCTGATTGGCTGAGAGGCCATCAGGTGATCCCACTCAGCACTGTAGTCCAGTTTATGCTGGTGCTTTACAGTAAGGCAACTTGCTGTGTGTGGGGAGGGGGGGGAGGGTGTCACACCCCTGAGCCAGAAAGTGGCTGTGTAGGCTCAGCCTGTGTTTGCTGATGGGAGACATCCCCTCCCCCTCTTCGCCCCCCGTCAGCACAGAACGGCTTTCCCAGACACGCGGCAATGGCGCGGTTGCGGGGATGCAGCATTTCTAGTGCAGACAACCCCTCGGGCTCAGGTCCCTGGGACAGGAACGTTGTACAGCGCCTACCGCGATGGGGCCTGGGCTCTGAGGAGGGCTCCTCAGCACTGCGGTGAGACAGATGTTAATAATAATCAGAGGCCAGAGCGGCCCAGGTGAAGAGTGGGACAGGGTGACACCCAGGATAGCAGCATCTGGATGCAGGCTGTGTCTTCTGGGTGGCTCTCGGAGAGCCGGTCTGCAGGGCCACGTCTCTGAAAGCCTCTCATCTGGTAAATGGCTAGACGGCTGAACAAAGGCCTTCTGTCAGCAGCACTAGAAGCATTCACACAAACAAGTGTGAAAAGTGGAAACAGCGGTATGAACTGGGGTGAGCCTGGTTATACGCCTCAGCCCCAGGAGCGGCTGGCAGGCATGGCTGTGCCAGACAGGAACTGGTGAGGCAGCTTAGCAGCCTGAACCTTGGTTTGGTAAATGAAACGTTTTCAAGGTCTCTCTTTGATTGCCTTGAGACGTGATTGGTGAATTGCTGTGAACTGGGCAGCCAGGGCTAAGAGGTCATAGAATCATAGAATACTGGAAGGGACCTCGAGAGATCATCAAGTTCATTCCCCAGCCTCACAGCAGGACCAAGTATCATCTAAATCATCCCCAATAGGGCTACGTCTACACTGGCATGATTTTCCAAAAATGCTTTTAACGGAAAACTTTTTCGTTAAAGCATTTTCAGAAAAGCGCATCTAGATTGGCAGGATGCTTTTCCGCAAAAGCACTTTTTGCGGAAAAGCATCCGTGCCAATCTTGACGCGCTTTTCCGCAAAAAAGCCCCGATCGCCATTTTCGCGATCGGGGCTTTTTTGAAGAAAACAAACCTGAGCTGTCTACACTGGCCCTTTTGCGCAAAAGCTTTGAGGAAAAGGGACTTTTGCCTGAATGGGAGCAGCATAGTATTTCTGCAAGATGCACTGATTTCTTACCGTAGGAAGTCAGTGCTTTTGCGGAAATTCAAGCGGCCAGTGTAGACAGCTGGCAAGTTTTTCCGGAAAAGCGGCTGATTTTCCGGAAAAACTTGCCAGTCTAGACACAGCCTAGCTGTTTATCTAACCTGCTCTTAAATATCTTCCGTGATGGAGATTCTACAACCTCCCTGGGCAATTTATTCCAGTGTTTAACCACCCTGACAGTTAGGAAGTTTTTCCTAATGTCCAACCTAAACTTCCCTTGCTGCAACGTAAGCCCACTGCTTCTTGTCCTGTCCTCAGAAGCCAAGGAGAACAATTTTTCTCCCTCCTCCTTGTGACACCCTTTTAGATACTTGAAAACAGCTGTGTCATCCCCTTTCCGTCTCTCTTTTCTAAACTAAACAAGCCCAGTTCTTTCAGTCTTCCCTCATAGCTTGTGTTTTCTAACCTTTCATCATTCTCGTTGCTCTTCTCTGGACCTTCTCCAATTTCTCCACATCTTTCTTGGAATGTGGTGCCCAGAACTGGACGACTGAAGCATAATCAGCACAGAGCAGAGCAGAAGAATGACTTCTCGTGTCTTGCTCACAACACTCTTGTTAATGCATCCCAGAATCAGGTTTGCTTTGTTTGCAACAGCATCATTTGGGAGAAGGCTTTAGTTCATGGGGACACTTGTGCTGAGGTGGGTCTGGTGTCAGTAGAAATCAGACTCCATGGCTTTGGGCAAGAATCCCTTGTGCTGAAGTGGTTGTTTCATTGCCCGTTTGCCCCAACTCATGGACCGCGGGTTTTGGGAGTAGCTGCAGGGCTGGGGCATGGGAAGGGGACAAGCTTTAGAATGTGGCTGAGATACAAAGCCACCTCTCCCACTCAGGTACAGGTTGGAGGGCGCCATTACAGGGTTGCAAATATCCCACTGATGAGACTTTCTCCTTGGTCCTCGATGTGGCGTATTTGGTGGCCTTCCTGGAGCTGTGAGGACTTTCTCAGGTCCTGGATGTAGCGTATTTGGTGGCCTTCCTGGAGCTGTGAGGGGACTAGATGCTCCTTGTGTCTAGGTCCAGGGCCTTCGAATCCCATATCTGGTGCCTGTGCTTTACTGCAGCAATCCACCATCATTGCTGACAAATTGCTCTAATGGTTAATTACCTTCATTCTTCAAGTATCCTATTTCCAGACTGAATTTGTCTAGCATTAGCTGCAAGAACTAAGGTCAGATAGTAATTGCAACTAAACTTTTTCATCTTGAGTATTTGTTTCTTGTGAAGGATTCAAGATTAGTTGCAGAGATTTTAGTCCCTTTTCCAACCTTTAATTGCTGTTTGCAGAAATTTTAGTCCCTTTTCCAACCTTTAATTGCTGTTTTGGAAACTGTAAACAGGGAGGCAGAAAGCGGCTGCATGTCAATGAATTCAGTTTATTCACCATTTTTAAAAAAACCAGTAGAGGCAGCAGTATCTGATGTCTGTGTTAACTAGACAAAGAGAGGGGAACAGTGGAAGCATTGTACTGAGGAATAACAAAATCATAACTCCTAGGAAACCTCCCAGCCACACATGGCAATAGCCTTACTTCCATGCAAACCACTATAGACGTGTGCTATGTCTTTCTATAAGGCCTTTCCGTAACACCTTCCTGTAGATATTTCTGACCATGGGAACTTCCCAATAGCAGATAAATTCTCTGCTTTGTCACCTTATAGCTATGGCAATAGGGTTATATTTTACTCTATAATTTAGAGGCACAAGCTTAGTGAGAGACTGCCAGCATTTGCAACTTTGAATATTGATTCCCAGTTAATGCACATTTGCACCTGCCTTCACTTCACCCACATGACAGGCCAACACAGGATTGTACCTAGCCCAGCCCTTCCCAGGAAGTTTCCATTCCATCTGTCTCCAAGTGCTCAATATCCCCCTGAAAGAGCATATTTCTCACCATAAATAGCATGGCATATAGACGTCTCTGCAATATTAAACACCAGGCATGTTTCTCACCTTCATTTCCTGCTGCAGCTTTTCATCAGCAGTCACAGAATTCGTGACAAGTTGATATGATCCTGTGATGCCTCATGGTTCCTTAGTGTAGGTTCCAGTTTCTTCCAGTCTGACATTTTTTGTGAACTATACACTTCATGGAGAAGCTGTCTTGGGACCTGGCCTGGGAACCAGACAGCATGGAAAACTGACGGCTGTCCAATGCACAGGCATGCACCGGGCCCACTTCTAATGACAGCTTTGCCATTTGCGAGAGCTCTTTTCGTACCAGACATCAGTGAAACGTGCTCTGCCATTCCGCGTGGGGAACGAAATGCTTCAGCTGTCATCTGAATAAATTCTTTCTCCACAAGAAGGTTCATGGAGACGTGGCCACATTACTGGATCGTGTTTCCAGCAGTCTGGTGAGGACGAGGGTCCTACCAAGTTCACAGTCCATTTTGATCAATTTAATGGTCAGAAGATGTCTTTAAAAGGTTACATTTCGTGATTTCAGACATTTAAAGCTGAAACTTCACCTTGGTGTAACTGTAGAGTCCTGGCCCAAAAAGGAGTTGTGTGTGGAGTGGGGAGGGGGGTTGCAAGTTTATTGTACAGGGGGTCATGATGTTGCCACCCTTACTTCTGCACAGCTGTGTTGTCTTCAGAGCTGGAGCATGGTGGCTGCTGGCCAGGAATCCAGCTCTGAAGGCTGAGCTGCCACCTGTGCAGAAGCAGGGCTGGCCTGGCCTGGCATTGCCACCCTTCTTTCTGCACTGCTGCCTGCAGAGCTAGGCCCTCAGTCAGCAGCTGCCGCTCTCCAACCACCCAGCACTGAAAGCAGCAGGACCGCAATAAGGGCGACATGGGCACGGTGTTGCCACCCTTATGTCTGCGCTGCTGCTGGCGGGTGCTGCCTTCAGAGCTGGGCACCCGGCCAGCATTACAAGCACCGCTCTCCAGCAGCCCAGCTCTGAAGGCAGCGCAGAAGTCAGGGTGGCCACACTGTGATCGCCCCTAGATACCCCGTCTTCTCTTGGCCTGGCAGAGACCAGTGACATGGGTGTATGGAGCAGAGTTAACTCAACCATTTTTTTACTTAAATAGGTTGGGTTTGAACTTTAAGTGCTGGTCCAGCCAATGTTTTAGCTGAACTCATTTCACATGCCTAAAAATGTCAAGTTGAATTCCCTTGGCTGTGGCTGATGACAGTCCAGCAGATCTGTAACCTCCACGCTGCTGTTACTGAATGTTGCTTTTAGCACTGGTTCCTATTGCTAAAGAAATATGTGCGAGCCTGCTGTCATCCTGCCACTGTTAATCCGCGCCTTCGCTTTGTCACCGGAGGGCCGGCATGTGCATTCGACTGCAGTTAGCCAATTCCTCTTTCTTATTTTATTAATAACAAGAAACCAAAGACAAATGTTTTGTTTGGGATTAAAACGCTTTCTGTCGCTGGTCCCAATGTATCCAGTAGCTGCTCCCCCAGCAAACTGATGTGGGATAATAGCTTGCTCAATGCACCCTTGTGTGTATGTCCACTCATTCCAGGAAATCAGCTCCAAGAATCAGCTGCCTCCTTCCTACCCCCCACACCCCCTCCCCAGGCCCTCATTGGCTGGGGCTGTTCTGCAGAAGCACTGCACCACCCCGCTCCCGACAGAGGAAATAAGAAGCCTCCCCCTTGCTGTCAGAACACATTGCTCTGACTCCAGCCAAACGAGGGCACAGACGGAAGGTGAGTAGCAGAAATAATACTAAGGGCTTTAGAGAGAGGACTTTTTTAGCAAATGTTAATGCTGAATATACATGCAGGTGGGACATGCCTGACTAATTATTGACATAGGAGTGATATCCCCCCTTTAAACTCCCATTGGGACTTTCAAGCCACTGCAGATTGGCCAAGTTACACACTTAAAAAGGGAGAGAAAAGAAAAAGCTAAAGCAAAGCTGAGGCTCCTGTTCACGCATGTTATGTCTGCAAATGTCGTCTAGTGAGACAGCAGCGCTACACGGCTGGGTATATCAAGGGATGTCCAGGACACCCTGCGCAGAGGATACGGATCGGAATAACTAGAGAACAGAGCTACTTCCCGCTGGACCTCTTCCACAGAGCAGTAACTGTATCTAGTTTAAACTGATTTACCTCTTCCCTTGCTCCCGCGGCCGAGAAAGATTTGTCTAGAATAAAAGCAACAAGGAGTCCTGTGGCACCTTGGAGACTAGCAGATTTATTTGTCTTAATACATCGGTTAGTTTCTACGGCAACGTGGGACTCCTCGTTGTCTGCAGATATGGAGTAACCCGCTCCCCTCTGAGACTTGTGTACAGCAGTTACACTGAGTGAGGCAGAACCTCCGCCACGATGTGGCCGTTCCTTTCACGTCAATGGAACAATGCTGAATTGCACTAGCCAGGCTCTGCACGCATCAACAAAGGCAAAGTCGGATTTTTGTCTGTCATGTACCAAAACCTCTCCCAACATCCATGTAGCGTGAAACTTTTTGGTCCGTTTTTCTCTACTTCATTTCCCATTACGTCATTATCTTTTCAGGGGGTTTCATTATGTGACATCTGAAAGGAGGCTTGTAAGCAAATATGGATGTCCTTGCAGGAGGTAAGGGCGTACCTCATTAAATGCTGTCACTAGCATGCCAAATAGTCTCTCAGTCGCCAGTGCAGAAGGAAGGGAAATGAGCATATTTGTTTGCACTTAGTGCCCATGAAAACTGGATCTCATAATGTTCTGTTGGCGGTTCAGTGGGGATAGAGGCATTAAGTGATCAGGAAATGCAGTCAGAGCAAACCAAATCTGGAAAAAAAAACCACCAACTGGTCTGGTAGCACTTTATAGACTAACAAAACATGTAGTCTACATGTCTATAAAGTGCTACCAGACCAGTTGTTTATTTTTTTCTGTAACAGACTAACTCGGCTACCCCCTGAAACTTCCAAATCTGGAAAGTAAGAGAGAGAGAAAGATGAAGAATAAAGATGGTTACAAAAAGCTTTGTGGCTCAGTGTAAACAAACGTACAAAATCCAAAAGCAAGCTGACTGAAAATGGAGCAAATCAGCTGGGCAGAAGATTGGACATAACACATAACAATCACACATGCTGCAAATGAAGAAAACTACACCATAGCCACATGTAAATGTATATTGGCACCACGGAGTGCCTTGGTGCTATTTAATTGGCTGAGGCAGGTGCTTGTGATAGGACGAAAGTTGGAAGCTTTTTTTGTTCTGAAGAAAGAAGGGAGGGGTTTTTCGAAGACAAAATGCCACTACAGTAAGAATCTCAGTCGGTAAATCTCAGCACAGGAAACGAACTGTGATTCTGCAGCAAATTTGGGCAACAGATGCTGTGTTGGCATTTAAACCTCTCTCCCCCTTCGCCTAACACTTGTTTGTTTTTCCTCCCAATCCCTTGCATTCCAGGCCAGTCCCGGCATAACCATGTCTGCTCTGGAAAAGGCCATGGTTGCCATTATCGACGCTTTCCACCAGTACTCGGGAAAGGAGGGGGACAAGCACAAGCTGAGGAAGTCGGAGTTGAAGGAGCTGATTAACAATGAGCTCCCCCATTTCTTAGGCGTGAGTATGGCCTCCTGCGCGATGGCTTGCCCCTTTCCCCCTTGCGCACCAAGCAGCACGCTGCCTGAAGATGGTTCTGTCGCCTGCTGCAGTTCCCAGCTCCCCTGGGGTTTGCTGAAATGGCTTTGGCTAGCAGGCACAGAGACAGTCACGGCCTGAGTGAATGCAATGGCCTGGCTCCGGTCCATCAGCATTTGGCTTGGGCTGTGTTTCCAGGGGGTAAGACGGAGACTGGCCTGGCTTCATGGTTACTCGGGGGAGCAGTAAAGGAGAGTTAGCTCATCAGAAGGTCAAGCACGTCTCCTCGGGATGGCAGGCGGCTCTCTCCACAGAATTATCTAGTGGCTTGTCTTGTGCTCTAAAGGGCCCCCAGTGCCTAGGGCTTTGCTTCCCTCCATGTGCACTTCTGCTTCGGCAGGCGTCTGGATGGCAGTCACGAGCCTGAGCCCCCCGTGGGGAGGGCTGCAGCCAGCGGTGAAGGGAACTTCGTGTTTCCTAACCACACGGTCCTATTGCAACCCGGGACCCTGCTGGCTCTTTCCAGAGCTCCCTGCCGGCTTTTTGCCACAGCTCAGCCAGCTCTTGCCAGAGCTGTGCACCAGGGCACCCCGTGTCCTTTCACCCCTGGGTGCAGCTCCCCTACGGGGAGCTCAGAGCATAACTCCATGTATGGCTGAGGGAAGGGTGGGGGTTCCCTTCTGACCTTGAGCGCAGTGGCGAGGGCAGCGGGTTTCCTATGTCTCAGCCGAGCGCCGTAACCTCTGCATTAGAGGCGCCCTCCCTCTGGCCCAGCGCACATTTAGTTCTCGATATGCACTGGTACAGCTTCTTTGCGTCACCAGCCCAGGGTCAGCATTGCTGCTAGCCATGTCAGGCTGTGATGTGTGTGCAGCCCTGTTCACCCTTCCGCGTCTGCGTGTGCTCACTTGCCTTCGAGGTGTCACTCCCAGTCTATTGAAGAGGGGCCACATGGTAGCCCAGGCCTGGGTCATTTAAGAGCAAGCTTCGTTTCTGCTGTTACAAGCTTGGAGTCAGGTTAGGTTTGAGTGTCCACTGCCGGGATCCTTCCATGGGAGAAGTGGCTGTACACGTTAGTCGGTGCAGTGACAAGGGGCCGAGGGACCCTGCCTCCTGTGGAGCTCGGCCTGTGAACGGGGTCACAGCCCCAGGCCAGGGCTTGGACGGCTGCACTGGCCACGGATTAACTAAGAAAGGAGGCTTCTTTGCCCGAGCTTTTGAATAAACAACGAGAGATGGGCCTGTCTGGTGGGATCAGCTCCACGGGTGGCCTAGCAGGTGGTGTCTGGCTGCTGCCCTGTCTGTTGGCTGCTCCATTTGAAGACAACCAGCTTATGAACCAGGCTCCCCTGCAGCCTATTCCCAGCTCTCTCCCTGGTTCACCAGCTCTAACCGCTCTCTCTCGTTCTGTGTAGGAAATCAAGGATCAGGAGACGGTGGATAAGGTGATGGAGACACTGGATGCGGATGGCGATGCTGAATGCGACTTCCAGGAATTCGTAGCCTTCGTTGCCATGGTCACGTCCGCTTGTCATGAGTTCTTTGAACACGAGTGAAGCATCGGAGAAGCCACCCAGAACCTGCTGTGCACGATGTTAAAGATAAAAGCTAGACTATGGAGCCTAATGCAGAGAGCCTGAGCGGGTGTAGGGGCTGCTAGGAGCGAGTCGGCTAATCCTGAGTAGTTGTAGTAAGTGCAGAGTGCTTTGTGAATGGACACCGGCAGACAGCTTAGCAAGGGCTGTTTGCCAGTGCCTGCCACGCTCTCAAGCAGCATGTGTGCTTTTGCACCTACCTGCAGCTAGAGTGCGTAGCGCCCTCCTGCTCCATGACTAGATGCAGATCCAGTCACGAAGACTTGCTATTGCCAATGATATTTTTTAAAGGGGGTGGGCTCAGTAAGTAGTAAAGGGACTAGAGAACAGAGGCCTAATCCAAAGCCCATTGAACTAAATGGCAAGACTTACGGCATCAATGGGCTTTGACTCAGACCCAGGGCAATACTAACAATGGCTGCACTCCTCTGAGCACTTGTATTTCTTAGCAGCTTAGCTATCTTCAGCAGTACCCTTCCTAAAAGGCACAGCTGGTAGCGTTCTGGGCTTTCCTTTAAGTCTTCCTGCTTTCTACCGACTTGCAGAAATAGGTGCTGAGGCAGTTAGGGCCCACGAATCCATTGCACTAACGAGGAAGCAGAAAAACTGGGCTAGAGACAGAGGTGCTGGAAAGGGTGGGTGAAAGGGAATAAGTTCAATGGCAACCTTGTTTTAATATCAGCTCAAACCCAGCTTGCTGCGACATTGCCACCAGAGCAATGGAAGGGTCACTTGTGTTCTTTGGACTGTCACACACTAATGTCTTGAAGTGGGTGGAAAACTGCCCTTTCTGTAAAACAGTACTGTATGCTGTGGTGTACGCCGCCTGCAGTTACAGTGACTGATCACTGGGAAGGACTGGATGAAGAAGAAACACACCATCACATTTTTGAGCGTGCTAGCCATATTGCTACTGTATTGGGTTTTGTGTTGGTGATGGGTCTTTGTAGCTCTTTCACACATCCAGGAATCTAGTCTCGATCATTCAATTTAACCATGTTGATAAAAATCCTGGTACACTGAGCCTGACTGGTCAGAACAAGATGTAAATCTCTGTGGGCCATCTGAGAATACCAAATCTAGACTAAGGCTTGGTCTGCACTTGCAAGTTACATTGGCCCAGCTGCCTCAAAAAGGTGTGTAAAAACTGACATCCTCTCCTCCCCCCATGTAGATGCAGCTGTGTCAACAGAGGAGTGCTTCTTCCACTGATGTGGCTAATGTTCAGGGAGATGGTATTCCTACACCTACAGGAAAACCCTGCTCTTGGGTAGATTGTGTCTCCATTACAGGGCTGTGCCGCATAGCTTACATAAGATAGGTCTACACTAGGGAGATTAACTTGCAAAATGTGCTCCTGAATTCATCTCACAAGCAAGCAAACTCAGCTCAGAAAAGCTGGCTACAATTTACATTCTCCACAGCTCAGCAGTGGGTCAATGTTTAAACATAAATTCTGGACTAAAATCGAGCAGTAAAAAATAAGATAAAATAAAATTAGAGTCACTTTACATTTGGTAATACGGTGTTATCTGGACATGTGTTGAAAAGGCCTTGATTCCAATACTCAGTTGGCTACGTATAGACTACATCCCTTTTTCGTAAAAGGGATGTAAATTAGACGTATCGCAATTGCTAATGAAGCAGGGATTTAAATTTCCCCTCCTTCATTAGCATAAAAATGGCTGCCACTTTTTTTCGGCATGGAGCTTTGCCAGTCTAGATGCGGATCTTGCGGAAAATAAAGCCTTTTCCAAAAGATCCCTTATCCCTTATTTCATAGAGGTTTTTTTTGGGGGGGGGTGGGGCGTGTTCAGCCATCTGGGAACCCTAGAAATAGGGTTTCACATTCCAAATGTGGAGCTTGGATATAAAGAATGCAGGGAGAGGTTCCCACTTTATCCATTTCAAATGCTCCATGATCTGATTTTACACAGTGCCCTAAGTTGTATGGAAATGAAGATCTCTCATCCGATGGTTCCTTGCAAATGCGGAAGGAACCTTGCTAGGGACATGCATGTCAAAAGGTGCTGCCCTATGTCCACAGTCAAATTAAACCAGCAGCATTAATCAGCCGGTTCTGGGGTGTATTTTACATGCAGTGATTTGCAAGAAGGGAAATGAATACGCAGCATTCTGCCCACCCTGGGTTGGACATCTTTCGGAATACGCAATTTGTCAGCTCTTTGGGTTGCTAACGAAGGCCCCAGCCCTGCAGCAGGAGCTGTGTGGGTGCAGCCCCTCTGAAAGGTATTTCTCACAGCCTGCTGGCAAGCGGCTACTCTGGCAGAGATGGCGGCTAAGCCCCGGGCCTTTAAATTGCCACCAGAGCCCCGTGCAGCTGCCCCAACACCTGCCTCTTCCAGGAGCATGAAGCAAGGCTCCCCTTGCCCAGGGGCCTGGCGAGTCGGTTCCCCTGACTTCATTATTCGGGTTCTGAGTGTCAGATACGTGTTAACGCCGTCTGGGTTTTGTGTCTCTCATGTGACTGGCCCCCCATATAGCCGGCGAGAATGCTGCGTGCTCCAGCTAGCCAATGGATTGAGCCCTTCAGTAGCAGGTCCTGCCGGCTAGGTGAGAAGTCTGCAGGTTAGTCCTGGCCAGCAGTTGTCACAAACCGGGAGCTGGGAAACGCCCCACACATCAATGATCCATCACTGCATCAGCCCCCCACCCCCACACGGCGCTTCTGACAGTCACTCCAGCCTCGGGTTAGGCGTTGTCCACGAAGTGCCAAGAACCCAAGTGAGGGGCCCGCTCCCAACCTTCCCTGTGGTTACATCTCTCTCCAGCTACAAGGCACACAGGGATTCCTCACCTGCCACGGAGCTGCCAACGGCCCCTGGAGTCACTGAAACGCCAGCCTGGCGGGGTCAGTAACTGCAGGCTGGCTCTATTTACCTCCCCTTCCTGGGAGGAGGCAAGGGCATATGACTAAGGCCGTGACTGAATTAGGAAGCTAGGTTTACCAGGAAGTCCCTGTGCCTCAGTTTCCTTGTCGATAAGGAGTGTGATGAGACTCAGTTGCTCGATGCGGGCGAGGCGTTTCAAGGGCTCAGCCGCAGGGGCTGGACGAGGGCGTGCTGTTAGCAGCGGGCTGCACTGAGAGCTGTTTCTTTTGCAAACAAGCCTGTGCAAAAGGAGGATCTGCCAAGTGGCTGGATCGCTCGCTGCCCGGTAGAAAGGTTCTGAATGTTCAGCCAACTGCACAGACCGACTGCTTTGTCCTGTTTGACTCGCGCGCTGGCTGGGGCTGGCAAGAGTAAATAACCACACCAGCATTGGAAGAACAGCGCCCTCGTCGTTCTCGGCCCTGCTCGCACACTCCCGCGCTATCAGACTGGGCGGCAGAAGGCCCTGTGCAATGGCTGCGTGTGTGCTCAGCGAGCCGTACTGGCCAGCACGCCGTTGGCCTCACGGAAGGGCTTTTGGTGGCAAAATACAGTAGGCAGGAAAACCGGCTTCTCCCAGGAGGATTTCCAGTCCCTGGAGTATGACCCAGAGCACCAGCCTCATGAAATACATGGCTGTGTGCTCAGCAGCTCTTCCTGTCTCTGGTGGGAGGAGCGCTTCCTACAGGCTGGCTATGCTCCTGCAGCCTGCATCTGCTTCTGCTGCCAGACCTGCTCTGGGAGTTTAGGGTGTGAGCACGGCTGCCAGAGGCGTAGCGAGGGTATTATGCGCCTGGGGGCAAAGGAAAAATTTGCGCTCCCCCCTGCCGCCATGTGGCACGGCCCCGAACCTGGTGCACAGCTGAGGGGAACTTGTACTGCATCTTCCCCCACCCCCTACAGTTTGAGGCTGGGCTCCTGCATGTACTAACCCTCCAGTGGAGATGGAGGAGGGTCAGGCTCAGAGCAGAGAGGCAGGGAGGAGACTCCAGCTGCCGGTGGCAGGGGGGGGGGG